GCGAGGCTTAGCCCCCTGCTTTTGTCCCAGTCTCCTCACATCCTGAGGGGTTGCTGGAATCTTCAGAACCTCTGTGCAAATATTTTGAAACAGCACCTTGTCGTGTGTTTCCTTACTCACAGTTCCCTCTGCCTGGCTCTCTGGGACTCCAAAAACTATTACATTGTTCCTGCGCTGGAGCCGTTCCTGGTGTTCCTCCTCTCCCCTAACAGTCGGTGCGTTAATTTTCATTTCTTCGACACACTTTTTCAGAGTCCCAATCTGCTGTAGAACCTGTACTGATTCTGCATTACTCTCCGCCCCCCCCCGTGGCCCTCCTAATACGTCAGCATAACTCCTCTTAGCAACCACCTCCATTCTATTAGCTACTTCCTCAGTCTTAGCAAGGATCTCTTTCTCAACTTGCTCCAGTTTGTCAACCAGCAGGGCTCCTGCTTCATCTATTTTCGTCCCTAGAGAACTCGTTCCCTTATGGATTGCAATCGCTTCATTCACCTTGACTATGCAGCCAGGGCAATACCAGCAACAGCCATCAAGCTTTACGGCAGTTAGTAACTTCCTAAACGTTGCATTAGTTAGGCCTGCATCCTCCATATCCGACGTCTCCCTGCAGTAATCACATATCAAACTCATGGTTGTTGTTGTTGTGGTGGGGGGGGGGGGTGCAGACTGTGTATAAATCTACACCTATTTCAAAGAAAATAAAGAGAGAAAAAGTACTTAGCTACTCTCTGTTGCCTATGGAGTTGTCGTCTGCGACTGCGTACACTGTATCTCCCTGTGAATGGTGTATTGTAGGCACAGTTTCAGTCCTTGAGAAAGCACACAATCAACATAAAATTTAAAGTCTCTGTGGCACCTATGACACGACTTGGTTTCAGCTGGCACGGTGCCTTTCCAGCTTGCTTGCTAGTGAGCGCTCACTTTAAGTTATTTACAACTTCAGCGGTCACTGATGACACTATGAACTATCACTGTGTACACTGTATCTCCCTGTGAGTGGTGTATTATAAACACAGATTCAGTCCTTGAGAAAGCACACAAACAAAATAAAATTTAAAGTCTCTGTGGCACCTATGACACGAATAGGCTGGCAGTTGTCCTTACCAGCTCGATTGCCAATATGTATTCACTTTAAGTTATTATAGTCTCTTCTGCATTCACTGATGACAACTATGAACTGATTTAACTGAAGGCACAGTACTACACTCCCTGGTTGGCCTTTATCACAGCCGTGACCACAACACCCTAAAAAATAAAATAAAATAAAAGCTTTGTCATGTGGCAGTGATTGTGTGGTTATAGGCCTGTGACCCTGGCTGTACCTCCAACTCGGTGGAAATTGAGTTTTCAAAAATACAATCGTGTCTAGCATGAAAAGTCCGACATCGATTTACACTTTCACCTCACTAAGACGATCTTGACGAACTTATGTAATCACTGTCCAATTTCTGCCGCTCTACATCGAAGGCCCGAATGCCGAACACGCTTTGTTACAGAGACGCAACACGACCCGCCCGCCCGTTTAAACTCCAGCTGATCGTGCTGAGTGGTATTGGTAGGTACTCCAAGTGGGGGCGGACAAGTGCTTTGAGTAGCTGTAGTTGAATTTTGTTGTCCATTTTGCTAAATCTTCGTAGTTTTGTGAGTTGTGATTGGGCAAGCGTTTTGCGTTGTGTTGTGTGTTTTGCTATGCCTGTTCTTGTTATTGTGAGTCCCAGAGTTTTGTCTTCGTTGGAATATTGTATAGGTTCGTTGTTGACTGTGATTGGTGCTGTTTTTTTGGGGGGGGGTGGGGGTGGGGGCAATGTGAATAATCTTTAGTTTCTGTGTATTGGTTTGTATTTTCCACCCTTTTTTCATAATCGTTAATTTGTTCGATGCAATACATTCTAGAATATTCTTACATAAGTAATAAATACATCAATATAATATACACGAAAATCTCCCCCAAACTTGCCAAAATAACTGCTGCTTGGAATAGAAAATATTCAGTACACCTAGTTTACAAACAATAAATACAATACCAAATTATGCATCGGCAAAAAAAATGTATCAGAACTCTCTGGGTTGAAAATCAGACATAAGACCGGTTGCCAACAACTGTTTTCATCGAGATAATTGTTACGTACTGTTAAGTGTTATAATGTCAGTAACCACAGAATATGTCTTATGAATGAAATATCACCATGAAATATCCAACTTTCCTGAAAAAAAATAATCCCACACTCATTACCATGAGACTTTTGTTTACAAAGGACTAACAGCTGGTCGACTTCGCTCCTCCGCCACTCGTGCTTACCACAATATGTCCCCAGCACTTAGAAAATTAGTTAATTACTGCAGTGTATTGATCATCACTTACTAAATATTATTGCAGTGTATTTATTAGCACTTAAGTAATATTGTAATGTACAGTATTATGCATCTGCATATACCCTGGCTTATTCATTAATCAGTTGACTAGGTATACAAGTGGTCAAATTGAGCAATCGTGAATCGAAGGTAATAAATAACGTTATTAGGAAGGTATTTTCGTATCAAATACTATACTGCACAGTGTGCTATAGCGACCCTGTTGTAAGCCGATTTGCTGAAAGCTCTCACATGAATAAATCCTGAGTGAATATCTACCGATACAGGTTACCTTTTATTTTCAAGTCTTTACAACTTACATATTGTATTTTTCTCTGTTAATTAAACATGTTACATTAATCACGATGAACCATAAGCCATAAGAGGCTGATCATATCACACGAGAATACAATACTGAATCAATAAATAACCTGATCAGGCCGCCGCGCCGTCACCTTACCCCAGGGCAACCCCCAGCTCTTGTTAGGCATACAGCAAATCTGATTGGAGTCATTAGACCATTGTACAGTATTCAGTGAGTAAGTGTTAGTCTTTTCATAATTTGTTTTTTTTTATGTTACCCTTTTCTTAAAACCCTCTAGCATCCCCGTTAAAGATACTAAGCACTCTTAAAAAAAGTTCACGTAAATGAGTGTAGGTAGCACAGTGCAACACACTGATACTATACATATCAAGGCAGGACTCAGACGGAATCTGAGACAGTGAGACACGTACCACATGACACCTGTGACGTATCGACGCAGTGTCTAGTATAATTAGGGATGTTATACAAATGTTCAATATTGTCAGTGAGTTCGGTCTCACAGAATCTAAGTACATTAAATTTATGGGCAATAGAAGATATACACAGATCTACAAAGGTATCTAAGTGAAGGGGAATACTGTTGATGTTAAAACTAATTAAGGAAAAGAAATGAGATAGTAGAAGACTAGAGCTAAACTCAAGAGAGTCAGGAAAGCAATAGTTACAGTTGGGGTTGGTGTAACCCAGTGAGTTTTGTAGAAAGGCATCAAGGTCAATATGAGGGAGTATTGTGTCGACACCATGGGTCCAGTCCATCTACGGGAACGACATCATCAGTTTAGAATTTTAGTACTGATTAAGGAACAGCAAAAATTCAGGGTCACAGAGGTGTGAAAAAGGAGGGTCAAAGAAATTTACAATATTTGGGGAGGGGGTGTGGGTAACGTACTCACAAGTGCTACAACCAACACACTTAAGATAATTGGTGCTGATTAGGATGACACCCAGTTTGTCACTTGGTTATGTGGGTAGTTGCTTCCCACTGTAAAGGATGAACGTGTAATACCCGAGTTGGGCAGCAGGGCAGGAAACTACTCGGGTGACAGGCTGAATGGTGGTTCAGGCAGGTTCCCTATCCCGGGCGACCTGGGGGGGGGGGGCAGCTACAGCGGGGGGTGGGGGTCCATTAGGGGGGGGAAGCTACAGCGGTAGGTGGGTGTGTCTACTCGAGGGGGCACCGGGGCAGCTACAGTAGCAGATGGGTGTCCACTTGAGGGGGCAGGTACAGCGACGGGTGGGTGTCCAATTGGAGGGATAACTACAGTGGCGAGTGGGTGTCCACTTAAAGGAGCAGCTACAGAGGCAGGTGGGTGTCCACTTGGGGGGCAGCTACAATGGTGAGTGAGTGCCCACTGGCCCGTGAGTCCCTCATAACTAGAGTTTTATGACTGAACATCACGTGTTTCCTATGTCTCCTGGCTTCTTTAAACTGAGCCATTTGCTGTTGGCGGGCTTTAGCTGTACAATACCTTGGTCTAGGTCCTCCTTGACGAAGTCAGAAGTGCATTCCAGCTTACTGCGCTGGTGGAAGGTTGCCTCGTGGTCAGGGAGGGAAGAGAACTTTGTTTTGATGTCTCGGGGGCGGGAGGGGTTGGGTTTCCCGACACGGTGAACCCGGTGAAACTTGACTTCAATAAGGTTTAAAATAGTCCTCAGCAGCCCCTTAAATTTTGTGCCGAGATGACTCCCATTTCTAGCTGGGATTTTGATACAACTGATTGTGGATAGGATGGGAGAGGAGATAAAGGGACAAACGTGATCTACCAGCACGGCTGACAGGAAGAAACTGATAAACATTGGGATTCCACCCATACTTTGGTACTTTCTGGAAACTTCCTTTGTAAGATCATGCAGTCATCTATGACAAACGAAAATTTTTTGCAATTATCTTGAAAACTTTGGGGGCAAATTTTTAAAAGATTATTGACGCAATTCGCTTCACCGATGCAAATAGTGCTACCAAATGATTTGACGCGATTTGCGTCATGTTGCGCGAGAGGGTTTAATTTATTAGTAATAATGCATATAAATACATTTTGCAATATATTATTGTAAAAATAATGAGAAATATTATTTGGTCATAACATACCTGCCAAGTGATAAAATGAAATTCTTGATATGAGTTTAGTTCTTATAGGAGTAAAGATAATGATAAGTACAACTGCTACATCTTTACAATATCAATTAGAATATCTTTGCCAAAATACTATCCTTTATGTAGAAGAACTGATGTCACCAACTATGAAACAGAACTTCATCATATCACTAAAAAACCAAGAAAAGTACACATAGCATAATTAATTATGTGTTCATTCATTACCTGGTTGCATGCCTCTCTTATTGGTGGACAACACTTGAACTGAGTGGCATTATCAGGAATCTCCTCAGCTGTGAGAGAGAGGTAGTGGTGGCATGTCTCCACACTGAGGGGTACACCTCTGGCTTGAGCAGCTCGTATCATGGGTAGAGCTTTACTTGCTGACAAGTGAACTATATGACACCGCACCTGGTGGCAGACAATGATTAGGTAGACAGGGATAAATGTTTATTGTACAATACTAAGCATTATACTCCCACTCCTCAATTAGTGCTCAGGATGCATTCCTGGAGAAGCGAGTACTAACTGAATCAGCACTAAATTTGGATAATCATAACTGTGTATAGTCTACATTATAGGAGGACGAGTTCTCGACACATGAAGGATATATGAGGGTTTTATTGGGAAACGGTAATTACGCTAATAATAATAATACAGATTGTCATCATCATCACTGTGTGATGTCCCTCCTTGCTACCCACAACATTGAGGAAAGGCAAAGTTGACAAGTAAAAATACAGAGTGAATAATATAGGGGTTGATATATGTGGATGCAGAAAGTAAGGAGCACACACACAAGAATCACTGTTTGTGACAAACAAATTTAAGTGATGAAAGGGATAAGAAGATTATTAAGTAAACTAAGTATTTTAATAAAATTTATATTAAGCATTGATTTGGTTAGCTATTTAGTTACATTAAATAACACAAGTAAAACAAAAATATGCAATTAACAAAACAAAAGTAACAACTAAACATTTGTCAAAACACACCGGAATATTACCCAATTATTCTTACATTATACATTAAATACACATATTATATACAACAACACAAAAACCTGGCAGCTCAGGTAGTAAGTCTAGGTTGCGATGGCCAACCACAAGGAACCAGAGATTAACGCCGTAGTCCACTACCACCAAACCATCACATCACCACCAGCAGTAGTCCTTAATACAATTCGTCGTCCACACCCCGGGAGAAGAGGAACACCGTAGGCCGCAGACTCGCAGAGAAGAGACTCAGAGACTCAAGCCTACCAGGCAGATACACTTGCCTCGATACCTCGATCTCATAGTCAGATGGGAAGCTGGTTCTGAAACGGTGCTCACTGGGGTTGAGTAGCCTCGTGAAGCAGTTTCTTCTCGTAGAGTGAGGAGGGGACAGAGTCGTCACAACTGATTTACAGTCATTCTCCAAGCTTGCATGGGTTAGCTGTGATTATCTTCCCTTCCACATTCAAACTCATGCATCTCTTAACCAACTGGTTTCCTACATTCTCTCCACATGCCCAAGCCACCCCAGCTTACCTCTACGCAAATTTTCACAAAAACTTTCAATACCCAGGTTCCCTCTTAGCTCTGAGCAAGGTTTCTTGTATTTCAACATTACATTACACACATACACACACACACACACACACACACATATATATATATATATATATATATATATATATATATATATATATATATATATATATATATATATATATATATATATATATATATATATATATATATTGTTATTTACAGAATGAGAGTAAATGGATATATATATATATATATATATATATATATATATATATATATATATATATATATATATATATATATATATATATCCATTTTTACTCTCATTCTGTAAATAATAATATTTTATTTTCATTATTATATCAGTAAGGGCAAAAAATGGTTTCTACTACTCCTACATGACAGGGGTGGAAGATGAGGTGCAGGAACTACTGCTGGGAAGATGAGCCAAGCTGTAGCTTATCATCCAGTAGAAGTTTAACCAACTTCTTGAGGAAGGCATTCAGGGTTGACAGCCTTAACCAGAAATTCTTCTCACAGAAACTTTTATGTAGCAGAAGATTTTGTGAAGTATTAATCTCTCTGTGCTACTGCACATCCAATCTCAGACCTTATGCTTATATTTACATCAGCTGAGTGGACAGTACCACTGTTGAGGCCCACCCGGTCCTCTACCCACTTTATGCAGAACCCTATCATCGCGGGCCTGCTTTTTGTGTTATCTGTTGCCATTGAGGTCACACCATTGCCACCTTCTGCCGACGTGATCATCCTAGATGTCGTTTCTGTTCAAGTAGCCATCGCTCTGCCATCTGTGCACAGAGAATCAGAGACCACTGTGATGGGGGGTGGTGTGGGTCTCGTAGTTGAACCCAGGTGCTGCATTTGCCATGGCCGGCACAATGTTGGCTCCCGGCACTGCCCCAAACGTCCGTCTGTTCCTGAGAACAAGCCCCCCTCCCAAGGCTTCTTCACCCACCTTCTCCCCCCTCCTGACTCTATCGGACAACCCTGCTCTGCTGACCCCTTCACCTTCCCCTCTCTGCCCCAGGCCACGCCTGCCCTGGCTTTGCCTCATCTTGCTGTAACACGCCACCCTCCACCGTCACCTCCGGCGCCACCTCAACGCCACGTTAATGTTCCTAGACCTCTTACCTGTCTCTACTCCGACGCTGCCAGACCTAGTGCTACCCCCTGTGCCCCCCTCCCCCCCCCAACTCTCCTCCGGTGAGGTGACACAGCTCATGTCCCTCCTTCACAAACTAGTAAGTCACGTTGAGCATCTCTTTGGCCTCTTTGGATCCCTACTTGCCGTTGTCACCGACCTACAGCGCTACATGATGCCCTCTGTGAACCCCACCTGCCCATTGACTTTCTAACAGCTGCCGGCTGTCACTACTGTCATGGAGCCTTCCGGACTTGACCAGGAGAAACCCTGCTCCCCCAGCCCGTCGGCCTGACTCATCCCTGCACCCCGACCCTGTCTACTCTGCTCCTCAACCTGTCCACACTCTGCAAGCCATGCCTACTCCTGTCTCTGGGCTCTCTTCACCAGGGCTCTCTGTTGGACCAGAGGACGCGGGATCCCCCCCACCCCAGCGCTCCACGCCTTTGGACCATACCCATGACATGTACGTTGACTATGTATCTCCGCCAGGAAGGACGTCCCTATCAACCTCCCGACCTCCTCTTCGTTGCTGCAACTACCGACGCACACGTCATCACACTCACACTTAAAGGTTTGTCCCTTAATACTGTCAATGCCTACGTGCCTCCCTCACTCCCACCGTGCCTATCCTACCACAGCACAGTCCCCAGCCGTCACCAACACTCCTTCCTCCTAACCAATATCCCTCCTCCTGCAGACAGGCCTGGCATTTGACTTATTAGGGACTTGCCACGCCTTGCCATAAAGAGATGTATTGTATTGGGAATTCTCCCCCACACACTCATCATGTCACTGTATGTAACTTGCCGATGAAATCTATAGCCGTTTAGGCACTTACGTCCTTATAAATCATGAGTCGACTAGGCAAGAACTCTGGGCGCTTCCCTGTTGGGTGCTGTAAACGTTTTTTGTGCTATGCTTTGCACAGCAACCACCAGGCAGGCTAATGGACCACTGTTAGGTGTTACGGTTGTTTTTTAACTCGTATTTTCAGGTAGATATTGAAGGTTCCAAGTGTTCCCTGAAGAAGGCAGTGATGGGTAGGGAAACACCGGGTATCACTGAAGTCCATTTATTAACGGATAGCGAGAGATACAAGTAGTGAGCCACGTGCGAATGAAGTGACATGCACGACCCACGGAGTCAGACTGAGGCTGCATTGCCATATGGCAGCCTCGGGGCAATGTAATAATAATAATAATAATAATTAACGGTTTATTGAAAGAGCTTGGCAGCCAGAAGGCTGAAAATATACAGTTACATATTTGGGGAATGGGTTTCGAATTGCAAATAATATACAAGTAACATAAGTGATACAAATAAGATATATAATAACTAGATGGGGAAAAGCTCAAACTACAGTGCATTTCAACATAGTGACAGTGCAAGAAGTAGTATTTACTGGGAGTGAATACACTGGTTTATTACAAGTTATTGATAATTTTTACAATGGTTGGGACTGGGCTGTTCTTATAGCGGTCAGTTCGTGCACGTATGGGCTGGATGCGGTTGTGGTGTCGAACAGCAATTCTCGGGCTGGGGATCTCAGGTGGTAGTAGGAGCCGGTGTCGAGGATGGTGTAGAAGCTTCTTACCAAATTTGCAAATGAGGTCGTGGTGATGGTCAGTGAGAGTCGAAAGGGTCAGTGTGTTGAGCGCTTCTTGATATGTGAAGTAGGAAGGGGAGAGAATAATCTTGCATGCCCTCTTTTGCACTTTTTCTAGGTGTTTACGTTGTGTGGCATTTAGGGAGGAAGACCAGGTGGGGGAGGCATAGGTGAGCTTGGGAAGTATGAATGTTGTGTAAACACTGAGGAGCTCGGGTGCAGGAACTCCGAGGGACTTGAGTCGGCGGAGGAGGTGGAGACGGAAACTGGAGGATTTGACAACTTCACTGACATGTGGTTTCCAATTTAGTTTGTTGTCTATGGTGACGCCGAGGAGCTTCGTGGAATCTACAACCTGGAGTGTGTTCGGACCTAAAGTAATGGAAGGAGGTGGGACAATGTCGCAGGAGAGGTTGATGTGCATAACCATGGTCTTGGTATGGTTGATGGTGACATGGTTGTTGGTGGCCCAGTTTTGGAGACTGTTCAATAAATCCTGAAGGGCGGTATAGTTGGGAGCAGAATTGTTGACGCTGATCCCAATGGTGGAGTCGTCGACATATTTCCAGCGAGCAGGGGTTTCTCTTAGGGCATCATTGATGAGCATAAGGAAGCAGAGTGGTCCCATCTTGGTGCCTTGGGGGACGCCACAGGTGAGTGACTGAAAGGTGGAGACAGCCCCTCGGAAGCGTACAGCTTGGCGTCGGTCACTGAGGAAGTCTGTAAGCCATGGTATAAGACTTCTCCGAAGCCCGAGGTCAATAGCTTTGTTGATGATTATATTGTGGTCGACTAGGTCGAATGCTTTAGTGAAATCAATGAAGGCGACAGCTACAGACGTTTTTCGTTTCTCGAGATGGCGGTATATGTAATCGAGAAAGCTGACAAGACAGTGAGTGGTGGAGGAAGTTTTCATGTTGCCAAATTGCTGAGGGTCTACGACTCCTGCAATATCAGCATAAGCCCAGTCGAACACAAAACTTTCACAGATTAGGCTGGGTATTGGGGTGATTGCAATAGGTCGTAGCTGATTTAAGGATTGTGGGCTGGTTGACTTGGGCACTGGTGATACATAAGAGGTCTTCCAGTCAGCTGGGCATCT